AAAGAAAGGGGATGAGAAAAAGAAAAAAAAACAGAAATAAAAAGAGACAGAAAATAAGAAAAAAGCGAAAAAGATGTGTGTATATATATATATATATATATATATATATATATATATATATATATATATAGAGAGAGAGAGAGAGAGAGGAGAGAGAGAGAGAGAGAGAGAGAGAGAGAGAGAGAGAGAGAGTGAGAGAGAGAGAGAGAGAGAGAGAGAGAGAGAGTGAGAGAGAGAGAGAGAGAGAGAGAGAGAGAGAGAGAGAGAGAGAGAGAGAAGCTCTATCTCAACTTCCCCATCCGGCTTCCCGCGTCTAGTTCCTGGTCACTAAATATATCCATAGAAATTCCGCCAGGGGGAGTAATGGGAACTCGCCGCTGAGAGAGAGAGAGAGAGAGAGAGAGAGAGAAAGAGAGAGAGAGAGAGAGAGAGAGAGAGAGAGAGAGAGAGAGAGAGAGAGAGAGAGAGAGAGAGAAGAGAGATGGTAGAAACGGGTAAATGGATAAATGGACAAAGAAGGGGAGAGAGAGTGTAAGAGAGAGAGAGAGACCTAGACAAAGGCAGAGAGATAAATAGATTAAGCGAGAGAAAGAGAAAAAAATACCCACTCTCTACCTCCCTACCCCCCCTTCTCCCCTTCTCTCTCCATTCTTCCTAACCCCCTCCCTCCCCCTCTCCCCCACCCCCATGCGAACACAAGGAGGCGGGATCTGATCGCTAGAATAAAGAAAAAGAAAGAAAGAAAGAAAGAAAAAAACGGATTCGATAAAAATTCAAATATGCGAAATTCACGAAATTCGCCGACGACATTCTTAGTGAACCGGTTTAAGGGGAGGTTTGGGTAGGGGGGGGGGGGGGGGGGTGGAAGGAGGGGGGAGGGGGCTAGGGGAAGAGGAAGAGGGAGGAGGGGGGGGGAAGAGACAGAGAGAGGGCTGATGAATTTTAAGTCTATGTGTCTATGTGTCTATGTCTGTGTGTCTATGGATCTACGTATTGAAGTGTCTATGTGCCTGTGTGTTTATTTGTCTATTGTATCGGCGAATCAACTTCAACACTGAATCTGACTAAAGATATAGACAGATGGATATAGCAATAAACATACACATAGACAAATAAATACAGATAAATATAGCTAGTGTATACACAGTGTATACACAGAGATATACACAAACACATACACAATCCATATACGGCGTTTCACAAGAGCAAAACGGTCACAGACACGCACGCAGATGTACAGAGACAGGTGTAGCCAATCACAGACACCTGCACAATGGCCATTTCCTTTCATAAACACAGCTGTCACGTTCGCTCCGGTCACGTGATCATAATAGCGACCGTCAGAAGAGATGGTTCCTGAAATTCCTTTTTTGAACTGAGGTTTGGTGATTCTTTTTTTTTGGGGGGGGGGTTGGGGGAGGGTTGTAAATTAGTTGTTTTTCTTCTGCTTCTTTGTATCTATTTTTTATTTTTTATTTTTTTATCTCTCTCTATCTTCTCCCGTGTTCTATTTGTTTATCTGTCTACCTTTGTGTCATTTTTTTTTATCTCGCTTTCTATATTTTCTTCCTCTTACTCTTACTTACTTCTCTCTCTCTCTCTCTCTCTCTCTCTCTCTCTCTCTCTCTCTCTCTCTCTCTCTCTCTCTCCTCTCTCTCTCTCTCTCTCTCTCTCTCTCTCCCTCTCTCTCTCCTCTCTCTCTCCCTCCCTCCCTCCCTCCTTCCCTCCCTCCTTCCCTCCTCTCTCTCTCTCTCTCTCTCTCTCTCTCTCTCTCTCTCTCTCTTTATCTTTAAATAAATAAATGAAGAAGGAGGAAGGACACATGACATACTACTGTCATGTCCCGGGCGGCTGTCACGCTGGCAGATAAATTATTTTGAATGAATCACCGACACTTGCGCAAGACGGAATGAAACAGGCGCCTTGTCCTCTCTTTCTTCTCCTCCTTCTCTTCTCCTTCGTTTTTTATGTTGCTTCTTCCCTTTCTTCGTTTAATTATTATCATTTTTCGTCTTCTTCTACTACTACTTTCTAGTTGTCTTCCCTCTCATCTTTCTTATCATTATCATCATCATCATCATCATCCTCTTCCTCCTCCTCCTCCTCCTTCTTTTCCTCTATTTCTCCTTCTTCTGTCTACTTCGTCTTCTTTTTCTTTCATTTCTTATCTATTAATTTAACTCTTCCTCTTTTTCATTTTCTCTCTTTAATTAGCCTTTTACTAATTAATATAGCAATTTATTTGTCCATGTATATATCTATCAATAAATGTATCTCCTTTCTTATCCATTTATCTCAGTTTGTCTCTTCTTTCATTCTTTTTTTTCTTTCTTTCTATTTTCTTCTCTCCATTCATCACTGGTTGAAGATTCTTCAAATGCCTCAAGACAAGTATAACAAAGTGTCAAACAAAATTTAATGAATATTTTCGAGTCGTAAACAGGGAGGGGGAGGGAGGGGTGGGGGGAGGGCTTGAGGGGGAGGGGGGAAAGGGGGGGGAGGGCTTGAGGGGGGGGGGAGCCGGAAATGGCGGTGGGGGAGGGATGGAGGGAGAGTGAAATAACAGAAATGGAAGCGGAAAAAGGAGGAGGAGGAGGAGGAGGAGAAATAGGAAGAGGTGGAGGAGTATGAGGAAGAGGAGGAGGAGACGATGAAGGAGGAGAAGGTGGAGGGAGGAAGGGGGTGAAGGGGAGGAGGAGGAGATGGAGAAGACAAAGACAAACAGACAAACATGCATGATAGTAACAACAATAACAATAAAAAACAAATGAAAGTTGAAAACCAGATATAAAAAAAAGAATAGATAAAGACAAAAATCCTCGATTCCCGAACAAAAGCCACACGACCTTTCTCTCCGTCGACCTGGTTTGACCTCACGAACCGCGCTTTCTCATGGCACTCCAGGGCGGCCGTTGGTGCTAAATCATTTCAATATCTGGAGAGGAGGAGGAGGAGGAGGAGGAGGAGGGGGAGGAGGAGGAGGGGGGAGGAGGAGGAGGAGGAGGGGGAGGAGGAGGAAGAAGAAGAGGAGAAGAAGGATAAGGAGGAGGAAAAGGAGGAGGTAGTGGAGTAGGAGGAGGAGGAGGAGGGGGAGGGGGAGGGGGAGGGGGAGGGGGAGGAGGAGGAGGAGGAGGAGGAGGAGGAGGAGGAGGAGGAGGAGGAGGAGCAGGAGGAGGAGGGGAAGGAGGAGGAGGGGGAGGAGGAGGAGGAGGAGGGGAGGAGGAAGAGGAGGGGGAGGAGGAGGAAGAGGGGGAGGAGGAGGAGGAGGGGGAGGAGGAGGAGGAGGAGGGGGAGGAGGGGGAGGAGGGGGAGGAGGGGGAGGGGGAGGGGGAGGAGGAGGAGGAGGAGGAGGAGGAGGAGGAGTAGGAGGAGGAGGAGGAGGAGGAGGAGGAGGAGGAGGAGGAGGAGTTGGAGGTAGGCTTAGAGGAAGAGGAGAAAGAGAAGCGAAAGAAGAGAAAGAGAAGCAGGAAAAAAAAACTGAAAAGGAGGAAGAAAAGACGAAAAAAAAGAAAAATAATCAAAAGAAGCACAAGAAAACGTCAAAAACGAAGAAAAAAAAGAAAGAGAAAGAAAAAGAAGAAAAAAAGAGATAAGGAAGAGCAGAGACTTCGAACATTCCCGGATGACAGTGACAGACTGGCAGGTCAGCGTGGGTCGGCCTGGCACTGTCACGGGCACTGCCACGGCTCACCTCAGCACGCGGGTGTCACGTGAACGAGGCGAGAAAGGGAATTCTGCGAAGAGAGAAAGGGGGGAGAGAGAGGGAGGGGAGAAGAGAGGGAGGGAGGAAGGGAGGAAGAGAGAAAGGGGGAAAAGAGAGGGAGGGGGGGGAGGGAGGAAGGGGAATAAGAGAGAAAGGGGGAAAAGAGAGGGAGGGGGGGAGGGAGGAAGAGAGGAAGGAGGCGAGGAAATGAATTCTGCGAAGAGAGAAAGGGAAAGAGAGGAAGGGGGGGAGGGAGGAATAGAGAGAGAGAGAGGGAGGAAGAGTGGGAGGGAAGGGGGGGAGGGAGGGAGGGAGGAGGAAGAGAGAGAGGGAAGAAGGGAAGGACATAGGTAGACAGATAGAAAGATAAGAGAGAGAGAAAGGTAGAGAGAGGGAGAGAGAGAGAGAGAGAGAGAGAGAGAGAGAGAGAGAGAGAGAGAGAGAGAGAGAGAGAAAGAGAGAAAAAAGAGAGAGAGATAAAACAGTACTATGCAAAACAACAATAACAGGAAGAAGCACTCGGAGTAAAACAACATCCTATTTGGAAGAACAAGAATAAGAACAATAACAAGGCGAAGAAAATGACAAAACGAGAAAGAAACAAGACAACAATAACAGGAGAAAGAAATTCCTTAAAAAATGATAATAATTGTATCAATAATGATAACATTATTCCGAATGATAATAAAGATTATGATATCAACAATAATAACAACCACAATAATAATGGTGATGATGATAATTATTATTTTTACTATCATTACTATTATTATTTCTATTATCATCATTATTACTATAATTGTTATTACTAATATCGTCATTGTCATTATTATCATTACTATTATTAATATTACTATTATTATTATCATTATCATTATTATCATAATGATAATAACAATAATGATAAGAATAGCAATAGTAATAATTATAATGATAATAATAATGATAATAATAATCTTGATAATAATAATGATATGAAGAACATTATTATTATCACCTTTATTATCATTGCTATTATCATTAACAACACCAACACCAACAACAACACGTACCCCCCCAAAAAAAATAAATAAATAAATAAATAAATAAATAGAGAGATAGATAAATAAAAAAACAAATAAATAAATAAATAAATAAATAAATAGAGAGATAGATAAATAAAAAAAACAAATAAATAAATAAATAAATAGAAAGATAAATAAATAAACAAATGAACTAATGAATGAATAAATAACTAAATAAATAGACAAACAAATACGTAGACAAATAGATAAAAAGATAAAAATCTCACCTATTGGACGGGTGGTGCAGCAGAGAGCGGCGCAGGAGAGTCGTCACCACGAGGGCGTTCCCGATGATAGCCAGGAGTGTGATGACCACCACGGCTGCCGTCTCCCCGCCCACGCCCACGCCCATGTCGGCCTTTGCACGACCTCAACATCCCTCGCGCCACCTGCTGGGGGAAAGGGGGGGTGAGGGTGAGAGATAGAAAGGGTGGGGGTGTGATGGTATTATTGATTTTGATAATGATAATAATGTTGATGATAATGTTAGTGATAATGATGACAATAATGATAATGATAATGATAACAATAACAATATTTATAACAATAATAGTTGTAGTAGTAGTAGCAGTAGTAATGATAATGAAATTTATAACAATATTAATAATCTATGATAATAAATAGTAGTAGAAGTAATAATAAAAATCAATACTAAAAAGCATAAGAAGATATGATAATGATAATGATGATAATGATAGTGATAATGATGATGATGATGATGATAATAATAATAATAATAATAATAATAATAATAATAATAATAATAATAATAATAATAATAATAATAATAATAATGATAATAATAATAATAACAATAACAAAAAACAAAAACAACACCACGCAGGACAAACAATGACAAAAGGCAACCACACCTTACTCTACCCCCCCTCCCTCCCCTTCCCCATCCCCCTTACACTTCCCCCTTCCCGCCCTCTCCCCCTTCTCCTCGGAGCCAAAAGACACAGAGAGAGAGAGAGAGAGAGAGAGAGAGAGAGAGAGAGAGAAGAGAGAGAGAGAGAGAGAGAGAGAGAGAGAGAGAGAGAGAGAGAGAAGCAGAGATAGGTAGAGAGAGACGGAAGAAAGAAGAGAGAGAAGATGAACGCCAGCGCTAGATAGAGCGATTGAGATGGTAGTACAAGGGAGACATCTCTCTATCTCTCTCTCTACTATATCTCTCGCTGATCGAGCGTAGCGCTAGCGGAGCGAGATCAAAGTTAGAGATGCGCTATATCGAGCGACTACTCTATCTCTCTCTCTTTCTCGCTCATATTCCCTCACGCTCTCTCTCGCGCTCTCTTTCTCTCTCTCTCTCTCTCTCTCTCTCTCTCTCTCTCTCTTCTCTCTATCTCTCGTCCCTTCCCTCTCTACCCTCTCTCCCGCTCTCTCCTCTCTCCTCTCCTCTCTCTCTCTCTCTCTTCTCTCTCTCTCTCTCTCTCTCTATCTTCTCTCTCTCTCTCTTCTCTCCTCTCTTCCTCTCTCTCTCTTCCTCTCTCCTCTCTCTCTCTCTCTCTCTCTCTCTCTATCTCTCTCTTCTCTCTCTCTCTCTCTTCCTCTCTATCTTCTTAACGATGAGCGCTATCGCTGAGAGAGCGAGAGCCATGTGTTCATGCTGCGTCCCCCATCATTGCTCGGGATGGCAAGCATCTACTTATTCCTTTGACATTTATGTTTTTCTCGTGGTCCAGCCTTGAGCAACTTATCTTGATGGGGGGGTTGTGGGAGCTGTAATTTTACACAGATGTTGTATGGGGGGATTGTGTGTTTGTGTGTTTGTGTATGTTGTGTGTGCGTGTGTGTGTTTGTGTTTATTTCGCTTTACTGCCTCGTTGTGTATTCCTTTCTTCCTTCAGTTGTTCTGCGAATCTTGGACACACACACACCACACACACACACACCTCCCCCACACACACCACACACACACACACACACACACACACAACACCAAAACACACACACACACATACACACACCCAACACACAACACATATATATTATATATATATCTTATTATATATTATATATATATTATATATATATATATCTATATATTATATATTATTCCTTTACTATATCCATATATATTATATAATATAATGTATCTATCTATATATCTACTCTATCTATATATATATATATATATATATCTCTCTATATTATGTCTCTATCTATAATATATCATCTTATACTATATATCTATATCTATCTAGCTCTATCATTATCTATACTCTTATAATATTTAATAGATCATATACTCTATATCCCATTTTGAAGAGAGAGAGAGAGAGAGTTGCAATGTACGACGTGCGGGTGTACATGAGGCTATATGGGCGTGCTGTCCCCTGGATTCCCCTGGCGCGTGCGGGCGTTCTGAAGCCGCAATTGGCAGCGAGGACCGAAAAGGGGAAAGGAAGCCGGGTCGTTTGTTCATTAGTATGGTTCGTGGTTCGTCTATGTGTGTGTGTTTGTAGCGAGGTACTTCTGTTTTTTTGTTTTTTTGTTTTTTGCTCCAGTTTTCTTGTTGTTCGTCTTATTATTTCTTGGGTATTTGTTTTGGTTTCTTTGTCTTTGTTTGTGGTGTTTAAAGGTCTGTTTGTTTGGTGTGTTTGTTGTAGTATATCGGGCTCTGTTTTTTTCTTTGTCTGTTTGTCTGTCTCATATCTATTTCTCTTGCTTTTCTAGATATCTGTTTATCCAATCTCTCTATCTATCTATCTTTACATCTATCCTATTTTTATTTCCTTCATTTATCTGATTATCATTTATCAGGGTCATAACATATCTACAATCCATATCTACCCATCTCTTTAGACCCACTGACCTTCTTCTCTCCTCTCTCTTCTCTCCTCTTTGTTCATGTATCCTATTCCTTCTCCCATTTTTATCCCCACTACCCCTGTCCTCCTCCATTTCCTTCCCCTCTCTTCTATCCCCACCTCTCTATCCCCAACTTTCCGGTCCTCTCTCCCCTATCTCCTATTCTTCCTTTCTCCATCACTTAACTCTTCTTCCCCCCCCCCCTCTTTCCCCACCCATTCCTCATCACTTAACCCTCTGTCCCCCATCCCCTCCCCATCACCCCATCCCCCCTCACCTTACCTATTGCCCATCCCTTACCCCCCTTTCCTCCCCTACCCTTCCCCTCCCCCCCCCAACTCCATACCTTCCCCCCTACCCCCTCCCTCTCCCCCTCCCTTTCCCCCTCCTTCTCCCCCTCCTCTTCCCCCTCCCCCTCGCCCTCCCTCCCCCTCCCTCTCCCCCTCCCTCTTCCCCTCCCTCTCCCCCTCCCTCTCATCCTCCACCTCCTCCTCCCCCTCCCTCTCGCCCTCCCTCTCCCCCTCCAACCACCAGGTTCACAGGTTCCACGGAGGCGCAACATAGTAGCCTAAGTAGCAGTCAGGAGAGGTAGTCCCGGCCGGCGACCCTGAGGTAATTGCTACGAGTGCACCACCTCCTGACCCCCCACCACCGCTCCTCCCCCCCCCTCCTCCTCCTCCTCCTTCTCCTCCTCTTCCTCTTCCTCCTCTTCCTCCTCCTCCCTCCTCCTCTCTCCTCTTTTCTCCCTCTTCCTCCCTCCCTCCCTCCCTCCCTCCCTCCCTCCTCTTCATCCTCATCCTCCTCAACCTCCTCTTTATCTTCACCCTCCTCATCCTCATTCTCATCTTCATTATCATCATCCTCACCCTATTCATCCTCATCTTCCTCATCCTTATCCTCCTCATCCCCTGATCCTCAACCCCCTTATCCTCATCCCCTCATCCTCATCCTCATCCTCATCCTCATCCTCATCCTTATCCACCTCATCCTCCTTATCCTCATCTTCCTCCTCCTCACCCTCACCCCCTCCTCCTCATCCTCTTCCTCATCCTCATCCTCCTCATCCTCATCCTCCTCATCCTCCTTATCCTCCTCATCCTCCTCATCCTCATCCCCTCATCCTCCTCACCCCCTCCTCCTCATCCTCATCCTCATCCCCTCATCCTCCTCATCCTCATCCTCCTCATCCTCCTCATCCTCCTCATCCTCATCCTCCTTCCCAGCGTCCTTGTGCAGACCGCAGGAACTCTCGTATTCCTACTCAAGGATGCTTCAGTCACGAGAAGGGGGAGGGGGGAGGATGCCCTGAGGGGGTTGGGGGTGAGGGTAGGTGGGGGTAGGTGGGGGTAGGTGGGGGGTAGGTGGGGGGTAGGTAGGGGTGGGGATGGTGTACGTTAGGAAAGGAGGGGGAGAGGGAGAAGGAGAAGAAGAAAGAGAGAGAAGGGGGGTGGGGGGAGGGAAAGACGGAGGGATGGAGGGGGAGCGGTAAAAGGGAAGGGGGGGATGGGAAGTGGGGGGGGGGGGGGGTTGGGGGAGGGAAGTGAAGAAAAGAGAAGAATTCCGGTGGTGGGGGTAGGGGGAGGGGAGAGGAGGGGAGAGTTGTGAAAGAAGGGGGGAAGGAGGGGGGTGAGAGGGGAGTGGGGAGGAGAAAGGTATACCAAGGAGAGGGAAATGAGAGGGGATGAGGCAGGGGGGAAGAGGAATGAGGAGGGGGGAATGGAGAGGAGAGTAAAAGGGAAGTGAGGAACGAGAGAGAGATTCAAAAAGGAAAAAGAAACGAGAAGACAGGGAGACAGGGAGGACAGGGAGAAGAGGAATGAGGAAGAGGGAATGAGAGGGAAGTGAGGAACGAGAGAGAGATTCCAAAGCGAAGGAAATGAGAGGAGAAGGGATAGGGAGAAGGGAAATGAGGAGAGGGAGAGGGAGAGAGGAATAAGGAACGAGACAGAGAGATTCTAAGGAGAGGGAAAGAAGAGGACAGGGGGTAGGGAGAAGAGGGAAGAGGAGAGGAAGAGAGAGAGGAGTGAGAGGGGAATGAGAGAGAGGAAGAGATAAATGTTGCAGTTGAGTTGAGAGAAGGCGAGGTTGACGGTCCCGCTATCTGTTTACCTTCCATCCGGCCTGTGCGTTTTCGGAATGTCTGCCTCCGTCTGTCTGTCTGCAAGGATGTTTCTTTATCTGTCTGAATCCGTTTGTGTCACCGTGTTAGGATCTATCTCTGTCCTCGCTCTGTCCTCGCTCTCTCTCTCTCTCTCTTTCTCTCTCTCTCTCTCTCTCTCTCTCTCTCTCTCTCTCTCTCTCTCTCTCTCTCTCTCCTCTCTCTCTCTCTCTCTCTCTCTCTCTCTCTCTCTGTCCTCGCTCTGTCCTTGCTCTCTCTCTCTCTCTCTCTCTCTCTCTCTCTCTCTCTGTCCTCGCTCTGTCCTCGCTCTCTCTCTCTCTCTCTTTCTCCCTCTCTCTCTCTCCTCTCTCTCTCTCTCTCTCTCTCTCTCTCTCTCTCTCTCTCTCTCTCTCTTCTCTCTCTCTCCTCTCTCTCTCTCTCTCTCTCTCTCTGTCCTCGCTCTGTCCTTGCTCTCTCTCT